CTACTCACATCGCCGACCAAATCAAGGTTGTACATCGCGATTGAAGTCCGTCATGAAGCCTCTGACTTCAYTGTTCATGCCGCTCAATTCAGGACACAGCTTGAGTTGCTAAGGAATCATGWAAAGAAATCATGATTACCACCATAAATTGCTTCATGATGTAATGATATCAAAATAGGACTCCTTAGGCGCGACTTAGTTGAGGCTCGAATTCTTCCTCTATACGTCCCAGGCTTGGGTTATATGACTTGTTGCGCCAATGAGATGATTGCTTTAAGGTCACGTGCATTTCCTTGGATACCCGATACAACACTTAATGATACTAGATCGTATTTCATCGGATACTCGATACAACACTAATGATACTAGATCGTATTTCCTCGGATACTCGATACAACACTAATGATACTAGATCGTATTTCCTCGGATACCCGATACAACACTAATGATACTAGATCGTATTTCCTTTGGTGTAATGTTTTGCCCATTACAGATCACGTGTCAATCCCTAGAGTATCATTTCTTTGTTTAATGGTTTTGCATGAGAAGACAACTCAAACATTCTCAAGACCGAGAATGACACGTGGTCTGAAATGGACAAACATTACGCCCAAGTGAATAAGGTCAATTGGATTTGCAGTTGGATATTTAACATAAACATAACATTAACGCATATCAAAAACTCATAATATTTCMACAAGGTATTAAAAACAACTTGCAACAATACCCGTTTCTCGGTGTCAAAGCACTTGTTCATGACGTCTTACATAAAAACCTCATCGTGCTCTCTTTGACGTCAAACAAGTTACGGTTCTTACCTTACAAATGGCATCTGGGTCCATTTTCTTGAGTTCGTYAAAAATCTCTGGGATGGTGTTATGAATGAAGTCCTTGCACTGAAAGTGGAACAAGATATTTAAAGATATGATACACCGGAGTGATCGAATTGAACGTATGAGTGGGTGGGTGGGTGTAAGGAAGGAAGGAAGGAAGGAAGGGAGGGAGGGAGGAAGGAAGGAAGGAAGGAAGGAAGGAAGGAATGAAGGAAGGAAGGGAGGAAGGAAGGAAGAGAGGAAGGGAGGAAGGAAGGAAGGGAGGAAGGAAGGAAGAGAGGAAGGGAGGAAGGAAGGAATGAAGGAAGGAAGGGAAAATTCTTTAGAACTCAATTTTTTTAAATAGTTAATAATAAACCGTTAATAATGGGTCTCTTTTCAATCCAAAACCTGGTTAAAGTGTATCGCAAAGCCCTTAGCAAAATGGAGCCGCTTAATCGGAATTTAACGATGTCGTATGTACGAACGGCTTACCTCTTTGATGATTGGTAACATGTAGTAACAAACAAGGTCCAACAACTTTTCCACATCTTGCTGTGAAATTAATAAACCAAGACGAAACCACATATTCGGTGTTTGAATAAAGGCTTTGTACCATCRCGTGTTGGCAGCCATGACAGGAGGCACAACAATAGTCTTTCCCYCCCTTGGAAACTGWATTCTTTCTCATGTAAATTAGATTAAACCAGAATCAATTGTTCTTGCCTCATGTCATGGATRCCATCACGTGATGGCGCAAAGCYTCTATAGCGCAACAACCATGATCAATACACACAGGATTCAGAATTTGTTGGATAAATCTGGAACTGTTGGCAGAGTTTTTYAAAAGAAAGTTTTTATCTTTATATTTCGTTTTCAGGTGAATACAATAGTTTCGCATTCGATGCATACCGCTGTTTTTGAAGACCACAGACTCATTTGCACAGGCTTAGCCTCGTTTATAAGTCAGCTATTCACCGATATACCATTAAAAGTCCGTGGGAKTTCAAAACATTGRTATTGTTCAAGCTGCACGTTCTCTACATTAMAGTTGACATTTGCAAATGATTTGCTCTTATTAAACAAAGCTAAGCCTGTGGAGATGAGTCTTYAGTCATAAAACACAGCGGTATTWACGGAATSAGAAAAAGGACTATTRACATTCCCTGGAGTTCAACCCCGTCTCTCCCAAGATTTGAAATCGGCGAAAAAGGACTCATGGGGATTTTTCAAATTGTATTCTTTAGAGAATAATTATACRAAGCYTTTCGCKGTCGTATCACAGCGTGGGACAATCACAACAGAGCTAGGCTCYAAACTAAGTGAAAGCCCAAAGATCGAATTAGAATTTAGGAGTTGATTTTTGAGGAGGGAGGAAAACCGGAGAACCCGGAGAAAAACCCTCGAAGCACAGGAGAGAACCAACAAACAACTCTACTCACATACGACATSGAGATCGGCAGGACTCGAACTCKGGCCGCATTRGTGAGAGGCGGCGCATTAGCAGCGCACGCCACCCGTGCTTCCCAATGATAATTAATGATAAATAAATCGTAATTAATAATTARAAWATATATWTATWTATWTATTTTAAAATGTRATATTTGTACCTCTGTGTYRTTCTTAGATGCCAGTTCTTTTGCTAATCCAATAATCTTGCGACAGAAATCACAAGTCAGATTGGCATCTTTTGGAGCTGTTACTTCCATCACTTCAACGGCTGTTGCTAAGTACGAAAACATATTCAATACTAAGAAACAGTTTCACCATTACGAAAACAAAGCGAGTAATATAAGTAGAGGTGTATTTTACCCTTTAACAAGGACGGGCACAGACCAAGTTCCTTGCAAAGCATGTCGGGTGTGATTTCCAAGGYCAAAAGGTTTAGGATTTCTGGTAGGTACTGTTCAACGAACTGGTTACACTGTAAGAGAATAAATTTAAAAATAGCAGGATGGTATTGTCTCGTTTCTCCATTTATTCCCATCCATGCATCCATGCATCCATGCATCCATGCATCCATGCATCCATTCTCTATTTTCTACCTACAACTGTTCCATACACTTTTATATTACCTCTTTCTTTAATTCTGCTGGCAAGAGGCTACAGACTTGCTCTAAGGCCTGTTCAATCTCTTGCTACAAAAAGAAAGAAAAATCATTATGCAAACGTAATATTAYAGAAGAGTATGCCTAGAATACAGAGCTTCCCCATTGTCGCCGAGATGAAGTAGGTTTTGGGGGACGTCAATCAAGGCGTTTCCATGACATTCCATGAGCACGTTTCATTTAATACCTTATGTTTATAACGACAATGTCATGGAATACTTTGATTAACCATAAATCCGCCAATGATATTGTTGTGGAGAGATAAGGAGGTAATCAGTACTGACCTGAGTGGAGTTTTGGGTAATGAGACTCTCAAGCTCCTGAGCAACTGTTTTACAAAGCTCACAAGAAGTCGTACTTCCAACTTCATTTATCACAACAACGTCATTTGTATTAGGTAAGACATCTAGAACATCAAAAATAAATTACTGATTTATATCGAAAATGTTGACTTTTGGGTCTGCTTTGGGTTTGCTTCCGACTCCCCTTTGTTACCGTTGCTATGTTTGACAAGCTCGTCAAATTATCTAGAATATCTCAGATTTCTCTGATTGCAAAAAAATTCATTATTTGTATTTCATTCAACATGTTTGGTTACCTGTAAAAAAACTAAATCCGACTTCATCCATTTATGCCTCTTTCTTTCAAGCTTCAAAAACGTTTAGTCATTTTGTCCACTCATGCTTTGCGCGACGCGTTCACCGCTCAGCTGTATAGCTATTGTCATTGCAAGTGCAAGTCTGTTCATAGTTACCTTGGATAAGGTTTAAGCCTTTGCACAGCCCGAGCTCTGTGCACACCATCTGAGGATTGAGTCCCTGTGACAGATACTTAAGGACCAAGTCTGCGTATTGGTCGATGAATTCCGTGCACTGCAAGAAGATACGTGAAGAATTTTAAAACAATAAAACAGCTTTCCACATGTAGTGTTTAGTAATACAGCACGATTCTAGACCAATCAGAGCGCGGTGAGAGAGAGGTGACAATAAAACAATGAACAATGGAAACGACTATTTTGCTTGTCCTGTCACTGACATGCAGGACCTTACCTCAGCACTGATAGTTGACGGCAACAAGCTGCACACCTTTTTCAAGGCTTCTTTGATTTCTTCCTTCAAATAAAACAGGTTGACTTTAATTCACACATTTTATAGTTTTCTCAATCCCTATCCCACCTACTTGTTTGCTTGCTTGTTTGTTTGTTTG